CACAGCTAAAAGATGGGTCATGTGACAACAAAAGCCTTTACATGCTGTAAAATCAAGAAATGGTCAAACACAGTGAGGTACTGGTCTAAATGCTCTAAATATATACAAAAGCATGGGTTGGCCTGTCAGTGGCTCCGTAACTGGTCTAAGCTATAAGTCTAGAATTTCCTTGAGCTATTGAATTTCTAGCTGAAAAAAAAAGAATCCATGAGAGACTCAATTTCCAAACCCACGTAATATTGTTTGGTGTAAAAACGCCTGTAGTGGTGAGAGTTGTCTCACTTAGTCATCAGGTCGCGGGTTCGAAGCAGCCTCTCCGTAGATTTGCGCGGGGGGAGGTTTGCCTCGGTTTTTCTTTTCCCCAGACCCCACTCATGTGAGAGCCTCCGGCACTGGGTCTGCCCTTTTAAAAACGCTCCACTGGTGTGGCGCTTAACATCGTCTGTTCTTTTGATCTCAAAACCATGGGGATTGGAAGGGATTGAAGGGGATTAAATCCTCTACAAGTCAAAATCCCCCTCAATCCCCTTCAATCCCTTTTATTTCTAGAACAACCGAACAAGGCCTAACTTGGACTCATGTTCTCGCTTCTACAGTACAAGTTAGGAAAACTCATAGGCTCACGTTTGTTTTTATTTATTCAGTTGCTTGTCATATTTAGGGCTTCAGTTGCTTGTAATATTTAGAGTTTGTTTTGGACTGCTATGCTCCACTAAACCAATTCTACTCTATTGTGGAGCAGTTCCACTCTATAGTTACAATTGCACTATAGAGGAGGTGGATTGTATATGTTTGACTTGAAGTTTTGCTCCAGCTCCAGGAATGGAAGGCTTTCCTGTGAATCATCTAATATGTCCTTGGATGATTTGTGTAGTGCATAATTTGAAATATGTAAGCATGTGTGGGTGACTGTATTTCTTTTTTACGAGTTGAAAAATCCGATTTTTTTAACATACGAATAAATATCATACTGGTACAGGTGCCCGATGTAGCTCATGTCAGGGTCAATTTGTTTGCCCAAAGTGTGGAAAACCAATAGTAATTTTGCAGAAAATGATCAAACCAACATCCTGTGCACTCAAGAAAGGAATATGTTTCAAGGGTGCTGAATTTTTTGACATCGGGGGCAACCATCTCATGCAAAAAAAAAAAAAAAGATACAAAATTCAGGGAAACTTAAATTCAAAACTGATCACTGATAAACAGGTCTTGTTTGTCAAAAGCATTCTGTAAATGCTTAAATAGACATTACAGGAAGATAAAAATTACCGAGCAAATTCACAACCCCTAAACATACCCATCAGGGGGCAAAGCATGGCAAATTCATGGATAAAGTCATACTCATACCGAGGAGACGATTAACTGATCTATGCCCTATTGTACAATGGTTGGCAACTGATGCCCGTAGTGACATTCAAACCATCAACTTTCCCAAAGAAGGGGAATAGTCTATTATATATAAAGAAAATGAATCTGCATCCAAGGATTCAGCCTGTCTTAGCAAAAATCTAGCCTCTGTATTTCATCAATGCGATGTGCACAACATATATGATTGAGCCTCTGTCTTCCACCTGTAGTCTGTCTTCCACCTGTAGTCGGTGAAGACTTGCTTGAACCGGGTCATTCATCCTTGTCAACATAACCTGCACAGGAACATTATGACGTTAGATATCATATATATGTTGACAGGTCCAAGTAAATGCATCCTTCTCAAGTGAAATAATTTCTAGACAAGGATTGCACTTCTAACAATGTTCAGATGTTTTGTGCAGATTCAACATGAACTCGTGAACTTTTGTAATCAAATTAAAGATGGGGATGGGTGATCCACGGCGAACCGTGGCTGATCCACGAACTCGTGAACTTTTGTAATCAAATTAAAGATGGGGATGGGTGATCCACGGAGCGAACCGTGGCTGATTACCGGAGAACTTTAGTTACTTTAGCTTGTGTGCTTATATGGCCCAGCTCCGCACGTGGAACAGGCCTGTATACGCATAGCACCTCGCTGACACTTTCGTCCTCGCTTCGAGTAAAAGGGTTAACCCGGAGGTGCTATGTTTGGAACAACAAGGATTATAAGCTGGTCCTCACCCTTCTAGACTTCCAAGGTGGTATTAAACCCACTAACAACAACTCTACATGTGCCACTTGAGCTACATGGGTCAACTTCACAACTACTACATGCTACTAATGGGCTAGGGTGTTACATTGCGTCTGCTGCTAGAGACAAATTTATCGACAGCAGCGACAGATTCATAACAGAGCTGAGGCCAGAGCTGGGACCCGGCCGGTTCTACGGTAGCAGCCTGCCGAGGCAGCGCTTCTTCCCCGGTGACTGCATGGACCCGCTGGCGTCCATCATCGACACTCTCCTCGAGTGGGCATGCGAGGCGCACAGCGCACTAGTCCATGGCCCATGGGCGGCTTTGGCGTGAAGCCCCTCCGCCTGCAGGGCCGCATCGAGGGCTCCAATGAGCCATCGACAAGCTCCGCCGCCGCACACTGCTTTGCCAGGGCAAAGGCCAAGGCCCGCACCGCCGGCCACAAGCCCACCTTGCTCGCTGCGCTCAGCTCCGACGAGGAGGAGGCGGTGTAGGAGCGGGCCCTAAAAAAAAGGAAAGAAACTGCAACTCGCGTCCGTACTCTCCGCCAAAGATGCCGGTGAGGAGGCGCGCTGATTAACTGGCTCAGCAACATCGCGCTCCAAAGACTCGAGCTCCTCGGCGCCTTGTGTCCCCAACGCCATGGCGTGCGTCTTCGGCTGACGCCCGAGGTACACCACGTCGATGACAGCTCGCCGGACGCCGGACGCAGCAGCGAAAGAAGAGCGGCGCCGAGCCGCCCGAGAACATGAGGTCGGCGAGGACGGGCGCTATCGACGCGGTCACGGTCGCCGGAAGGCTGCTGCACCGGCCGCGCCGCGGTGCCCTCACCAGCACCGGGATAAAGGTGGATCGAACTGCTGGATCTTTCGGTTCGGTGGTTTCTGATCCATCGATCCTGATCCTCTATCTGCTGTTAGAATGGAGCCCATTTGGATAGTTTTTATGGGCCGGTTCGACGAACCGCTCCACAGAACCGAACCACGCCCATCTTTAAATCAAATCAAGTTGTCAAATGTATGAAGTACATCTCCCAGTATATGAAAGACATTTTCATTTAATTTCACAGCTAAAAGATGAGTCATGTGAATCAAGAAATGGTCAAATACAGTGAGGTAGATGGTGAAACTTATCACACAATGCATCCAGTCAACGACTGTACTAACAAAAGAAATTAAGAAAGCAACACACCCTACTAATCTGATAGATTTTAAAGAATCGAAGAATTGTAAACAGAACTATCCACACTTGTTAGCATTTGCTACCTGGAAGATAGCTACAATAGTTCAACATTAACATATTTATGTTTATGTTGCTGTCCAAATTTAAAATCCACATTAGCTCATTTTTGTAAGACAAACATAACATATGGATGAGATAGGAAATTCTTTGGACTACATGGTGCCACAAACTCTAACCCATAGTGAGCATGCCGTGGACCTACTAAATCTAAGGTCTGAAAAATGTACGACTTTTGGAGTAGAAAACTTATCGTATATACTGACACCCTTGATGAACTGTGGGGATACTGACACCCTTGATGAACTGTGGGGCCACAAGAGAAGGCAAGATCTTTTGAGTAAAAGACTCAAAATCTTTTCAGCACGCTGGTCCTTCCCATCGATCCATTTCTCACAAACTCTGTTTTTCACAAACAACACAAAGTACAGACTATAGAAGGTAAGAAATGAGAAAAAAAATACTAGAACAACAAATGATAAATTTCTATACTCAAGTGCTCCCACAATGCAACTACTGAGGAATGAAAACACAACACATTATAGCCGGCAATAGCAAATGCATGTGACTTCATTAATAAAAATGTCACCATAATGCAACACTAACAGAAATACAACACAGGGAGCAGCAACATCAAAATGCTCACAGATTCTAGCAACAAGGAGAGGATAATCTACACCAGGAAGATCTTTAACAAGCAAGTCAATCATCCACAACATAGAGAATTGTGGATTGATTGTTTTATAAAAGATAGATTGAACATAGACTTGAAAAACATACCATTTAATAGCTAAACCAGAAACACCTGAAGCATCTTCCAGTTTCCAGTGGTGCCTAAACAATTTGGAAACAGAAGTGGAGCTGCTGCGCTGCCACCGCCGCCGCCATCGGTAATGCATTGGGTCCACCATTCCTGTCCTATCATCGATGCTAAAATCCAGTATCCAGCAGCTTGTTAGTCTCAGCAAACTCACCTTCCACTGGAATGGCATCTTCTTCCACCAAAAAACAAAACTGATGAATTTCATGTTAACTTTGTCCTACATGACAGAAGCTGTAAAGCTAAAAAATCCAGCAGCTTGTTAGTTTACTCAAGTACCACAACTCTTCTTTCAAATCAATCACAATCGAATTTTCTTATTCTTAACCAAATAGCATTGTAAAAAAATGACTTTTTCCATAATTAAGCCATCTTGATCAACCAAGAGCACCCTACACCGTCATTCTCCTAGCCACCAAAAAGAAAAATCCTTGGCAACCACCATTCACAAAACAAGAAAATGCTTCCATAAACAAAATCATTGAGGCCTTACATCTGTATTAAGTAGCCGATGGTCACAAAATGTGAATCCCTGGCATGTGAGTATCATCCAACAAAACCAGGCCATGGTCTGAATCTATGATCAATTTCCTACTCTGTTCAGCCAATACAGTATGCCCTAACTCCTAAAAGAGCAAGAAGAAACACTCATCAGACTAGCTAACAAGTTCCCCAACTTGTTACAAGCCGCCATTAACCAGGTGCCCTGCAATGCCTCAGCAAATGCAGTACTGGTATGGACTGACTGCACTGAATATATCTTAGCAAACCAAATCATGCTTGCCAATGCCATTTGATTGCTCATGTTATTACTTGGGCATAATATGATACATGTCTCAAGCTTCTATCTTCTCATAGAAGAGGAAAGCCTCGCACTTGAGAACTTCATCTAGAGAGACTTCTCTGATGCTTTTATCATTTGCACGAAACCAAGAGGAAGAGCTACTGCTCGTCTCCTGCTCGCTGAAAATCCTGCTTCCTCTCACATAAGCGACAAAGTGCACTGCTGTTACGGTCCTCCCGCGATGCTCAATGACACCAACTAGACGATATCTGGCATTATCTATGGCCCCAGACCTGTAGGTTTGCAAAATATCAAACAAACGAAATGTTAGCTTAGCTATCAACATCACTAACAAGAAAATACTATCAGATTAACAGTTTTGACATATATCAAGTGACTAGCTGATTCCTCCAAAACTTAAAACAGAATTAGTGTCACACAGTACAATTGTATTAATAGTCAGTTCATTTCATTTTTTATGTGCACAAAAAGGGAAAATAAAATCCTTAGTTGTTCCATTTTGCGGGAAGGGATGACATAGCCGGCACATGTCGCACATCGCCTATGTGTGAGACCCAACACCAGTCAGGCAGTCACCACAATTCAGTTAAACTTCCCAATCAGTGTGCAATGGAAGTACCAGATGCTAGTTGCCTATTGTCCCATTTTCAAAGTATAGTCAGATACTAAAAAAAGCGCGTAACTAAACATAGAAACCTTTGTTCTGTACCATTTTTAAAAAAAAAATCAGACCTTTTTCAAAGGTAGTGCTATTTTTTTGTATATATACTACAGAGGTCACACTTGGGTCACCAGGAGTGACAAAACCCCAGCAGAAACAACACAGAAAACAAAAGAAACCCAAGTAGCACGAGACAAAGTGATAAATTATTAATAACTCAAACAAATTTATTTCTAGCACTACTCCAGGTCAGACAATGGCAACTAGAGATTCTTTTAGAGACGTAAAAGCACCTTCTGAATGAACAAAATTGAAACATGCAGTCTAAACAACTCTTTTGAACTAAATACCATATGTTCTTCAATCTTTCCTAAAGATACTGAACAAACTATGAAATAAAAGGTAGCTACTGCAAATGAGAAACTTCAAACTGCACAAAAGTAATATAACTATTGTAGTTAAAAACTTCGAACTTGGGTCTTCTCCCACTTGGTTTGCAGTATTTTCCAGCTCTACTTGTCGTGTTCTATCCTGATTTAGTGCACTGGCCTTTTTGTTATCATGGTACTCAACAGGTTGCTCTTTTCCTCCACTTTTCCACAATGGTCATGTTCAACTCGGGCCGTCAAGTGATGTGACTTCACTGATGTTTGCCACCATCTGTCCTCTATCTTTGCTTCGACTGGTGGGGCAAGAGAAAGCAAAATCCTTTCAGCACGCTGGTCCTTACCATTGATCCCTTCATCACAAAGCCTGTTATCGCAAATGAAATTAACACAAAACACAGAAAGTAAGAAGAAGGAAAAAACGTACTAGGACAACAAAATAGTAAATTGCCATCCACTGAAGTGCTAGCTCCCACAATGCAACTACTGAAGTATGAACACATTGTGGATTCATTGTTTAATAAAAGATAGATTGAGCATAGACTTGAAAAACATACCAATTAACCAGAAGGGATTCATTGTTTAATAAAAGATAGATTGAGCATAGACTTGAAAAACATACCAATTAACCAGAAGCACCTGAAGCATCTTCCAATTTCTAGTCGTGACTAAACAAATTAAAAACAGATTGTCTAGCACAAGTAAAGAATCTGCACCAAAACATATGGGCCACAGACAACTATACTATATATGGAACCTAAAATCCAGATAATTTCTGTATGAAAACATAATATTTCAGATACTTGTAGCTGCATAATTAAGCAATACGACATTAAAAGTGCTAAATCAAAGACAGGACCGGGAAGGGGAGGGCATGTACCTTGAGCAAGTAGAGCAGCAACACCTGTAAGTAAGCAACTAAAACAGAGGCTTGAACGGGTTAGAGAACGCACCTGGGGCCAGCAAGAAAACACATACCGCACGCACGGACCAAACCTAGCACATGTCCATCTCCGGAGGGGGAGCTGGGAGCTGCACTGCCGCTGCCGCTGCCGCTGCTGGCTGCTGCGGCGGCGGATCGTACCTCACGGCGTACACCCCATACACGGGCATGTAGTAGACGATGCACACGCACGTCATGACAACCGTGGCGGCGATGCAGAGGTACACCCAGACGCGGAAGATCGGTATCCAGAAGCGGGCCTCCTCGGGATCTGTAGTGAAGGAGAGGACCTTGACGATGCAGATCACAATGTGGAGCCCGACCATAGCCATGCCCCAGGTGCGGCCCATGCCGCCGAACACGCAGTACACGGCGTACGGAAAAAGCTTAATCTTCATCGGCGGCAAGGGACGCACCTCATCCAGCGCCGTCGCGGGTGGGGCCGGAGGTGGGCTCAGCATCGCAACAGGAGCCAAAGGGGCGACGACTCGAGAGGAGCGGGGATCGAGCGAGGAGGGAGGAGCACCTGCGGACATCGGGCGAGGAGGGAGGAGCACCTGCGGCCTCGCCGGAATCGATCGAGGGAGCCGCCGGGTCGAGATCGCGAAGCGCGCGCGCGGAGATGTGATCGGGAGATCGAGATCAGGATTGCGGGAATCGAAAACTCTTGGGGATTGGGATCGATTGCTCTGGGAGGCGGGGGTGGAGGCGACGCCGACGCGCAGGTTTTATTGGCCGGCAAGATGAGTCGCGGAGTCGGTTTTGTCTTTGCGGCGTCACGTGTCCCTCACGCGCCAACCTGGAACCTGCTGTGTGCTGGAACTGGAAGAAGAGCGGGCTTTTTTCATTACCGTCGTTTACCCCCTTGAGCCTTTTTTGACAAAAATAAATAATAAATAAAATAAAATGGGTGCATGTGTAATAACCCATAAATAAATCATCGTATGGCATATTGATGATATTGATTCCAAGCTCGTAAGAGTTGTTCTGGCAGCATCATACAAATGGTCTAGTATATTTTTAGGATTTTTTTGACAACCCATAAAAGTTAAATGACCTTTTAGACTCTCGCAGTGCCAGCTCCTGGGCGTCCCGATGGACGCGCACGTCCGGACGTCCACGCTTGCACTCCGTTTTGTGCGGCCACACGGCTCCCGCACCACCCAAACCTTGCCGCGCGCCCCCTCTGCTTCCCCTCTTAGACGTCTGCGCCTCCTCGCTGGTACCTTAGCCGCTACGGTACGTGGGTCCCCAGCAGCAACATCGGATCTATCTTTGAAACATCCAGATAAAACATTTGCAACATGTTCTGAAGGCAGATGAAACACTTGAAACATGCGTCTGAAACACTTGCAATGAAAAAGCCATTGCAAAACATATAAAACACATCCAGATAAACTTGTAACATATGTGTGAAACATATGTAACATCCAAATAAACACACTTTCAATATAGGTCTGAAAAAAACAGATGAAACATTTGGAACGAATGCTTGCAACATACATATACAACCATTACAACATATGCAACATCTCGATCTATTTTTGCAACATCCATATAAAAATATATGCAACATACCTCTAAAACACCTGAAACAATTGAAACATACTCTTGCAACATTCGCTTTCAACGCAACATCTCCTTGTTGCTTGGCAGAATGTAGGTCTCTCGGTGTGTGGAGTTCACCGGAGGCACGGCGCGCGCGATGCTTGTAGGCGGTGGGCCGGCGGCATTGGCTGCATGTAGCGGAAGGGAGGCAGCGGCCACAAGAGCGGCAGGGAGGACGCGGCCGCGTAACTTGGAGAGGGCAGCCGTGCGCCGCACGTGGCAGGGCCAGCAGCCCAGCACCGCGACTTGGAGGCGGTCGTGCGCTGTGCCTAGCAAGGCCAGTGGCCGAGCGCTGCGCCTCGGAGGCGGTCGCACGTAGCGCTTGGGGGGCCAGCGGTCGTGCACCCAGAGGCAGCAGACGAGTAGATAAGAGCGATAGGAAGAGGAACGAGTTGATATGAACGAGCAGATGAGCGGGGTTTTTTTTCTAGAAACGAAGGAGCGTGCATTGTTAGGCTGGCGTCGTGGCCAGCGACGAAGGTTCCGGGCGGACATACGTCCGGTTCAAAGCATTACCATTTAGACTTTAGAGAATGACCTTTTTAAGAACCGTTTTTGGATGTCTGATCGTCGCAAGCGCCACGATATGCAAGAGGATGATGCGTGCGCACTCTGTGATCAGATGTTGAGACGGTGGGCCATCTCACAGCAAGTTGCATCTTCACCAGACAGGTGTGGCAGCTAATGCTCACGCTGGTAGCGTTGATGTCGGAGTATGAACGTAGGTGTGGCAGGTCTGCTAGCGTTGATGTCGGAGTATGAGGACGAATTGGGGGAGTGGTGGCTTCGCCAGCGAGCTTGACACGACTCGACAACGCGACCTACCTTCGATTCCTTGGTGTTGCTCATTGTCTGGACTGTTTGGAAGGAAAGGAACAATAGTCTTTGGGATAATGTCTTCCACTCCGGTTGCTGTCGTTCGGAGCCTAATGGAGGAAGCGGCGGATTGGTACAGGCAGTCTTCACAAAACATTATGCACGTATAGTACTATAGTTGCATTGTTAGGCTCTCGGTCAAATGTTTGCGCTCATGTCATGCCAGCGTGTTTCACTGCCTCGTATTATTTACAAACTCCTACGTTCTTAATTAAATTTGGGTCCAATCCCGCTCAGAAAAATTAAATTCAAAATTTATAACATCAAACGATTACATTATGAAAATATATTCAATGGTGTATGGCATATCTTATCATCTAATTTAGTGTCATAAATTTTGACCTATTTTCTATAAGTTTGATAAAAAAAATTTATAAAAAATAGCTTAGTATAACTTTAGTTACAGGAACTAAACATGGCCATTGGGGCAAAGCTTGGCAAATTCATGGATAAAGTCATACTCATACCGAGACCATTAACTGGTTCAAATCACAGTGATGGAAAATATACATGCCTATACAATGGTTGGGAACTGATGCCCGTAGTGACATTCAAACCATCAACTTTCCCACACAAGGGGAATAATCTACTCTATATAAAGAAAATGAATCTGCACCCTAGGATTCAGCCTGTCTTAGCAAATAATCTAGCCTCTGTATTTCATCAATGCGATGTGCGCAACATATATGATTGAGCCTCTGTCTTCCACTTGTAGTCGGAGAAGACTTGCCTGAACCAGGTCATTCATTCTTGTTGAACAACATAACCTGCAATGGAACATTATGACGTCAGATATCATACATATGTTGACAGGTCCAAGTAAATACATCCTAATCAAGTGAAATAATTTCTAGAAAAGGATTGCACTTCTAACAATGTTCAGATGCTTAGTGCTGATTCAACATGGACTCGTGAACTTTTGTAATCAAATCAAGTTGTCAAATATATGAAGTACACCTCCCAATATATCAAGACATTTGCATTTAATTTCACAGCTAAAAGATGAGTCATGTGAATCAAGAATGGTCAAATACAGTGAGGTAGATGGTGAAATTATCACACAATGCATCCATCCAGTCAATGACTGTACTAACAAAAGAAATTAATTAAGAATAAGAAAGCAACATACCCTACTAATCAGATAGATTTTGAAGAATCACAGTGGGGGTCTCCCCTGCTATATTTTCGGGTCAAAAGAAAAAGATTTTGAAGAATCGAAGAATTGTAAACAGAACTATCCACACTTGTTAACATTTGCTAACTGGAAGATAGCTACAATAGTTCAACATTAACATATTTATGCTTATGTTGCTGTCCAAATGAAAAATCCACGCTAGCTCATTTTTGCAAGACAAACATAACATATGTATGAGAGAGGAAATTGTTATACATTATAACCCATAGTGAGCATGCCGTGGACCGACTAAATCTGAGGTCTGAAAAATGTACAACTTTTGGAGTAGAAAACTTATAGTATAATATACTGACACCCTTGATGAACTGTGGGGCCACAAGAGAAAGCAAAATCTTTTGAGTCTTTTATAATGGCATACAGGGAAAAGACCCGAAATCTTTTCAGCATGCTGGTCCTTCCCATTTATTACAAACTCTGTTTATCACAAACGACACAGTACAGACTACAGAAAGAAAGAAGCGAGGAAAAAACATACTAGAACAAATGATAAATTTCTATCGTCTGAAGTGCTCCCACATGCAACTACTGAGGAATGAAACACAACACATTATAGCCTGCAATAGCAAATGCATGTGACTTCATTAATAAAAATGTCACCATAATGCAACACTGACAACACAGGGAGCAGCAACATCAAAATGCCCACAGATTCTAGTAACGAGGAGAGGATAATCTACACCAGGAGGATCTTTAACAAGCAAGTCAATCATCCACAACATAGAGAATTATGGATTCATCGTTTTATAAAAGTTAGATTGAACATAGACTTGAAAAACATACCATTTAACAGCTAAACCAGAAACACCTGAAGCATCTTCCAGTTTCCAGTGGTGCCTAAACAAATTGAAACAGAAGTCTTGCACAGGCAAAGAAATCTGTGCCAAACCACATGGGCCACAGACAACTTATGGAACCTAACATCCAGGTATTTTTCTATTTGAAAACTTAATATTTCAGATTTCAAATACTTATAGGTGCACAATTAAGCAATTACAACATTAAAGATGCTAAATCAAAGATAGGGTCAGAAAGGTGAGGGCATGTACCTTGAGCAAGGGGAGCAGCAACACCTACCAAGTAAACACTAAACAGAGAATTGAAGAATGGGTTAGAAAATGCACATGGAGCCAGCAAGCAAACACATACCGCACGCAGGGACTAAAACTAACGTCTCCATCTCCTGAGGAGGTGGAGCTGCTGCGCTGCCACCGCCGCCACCGCCACCGCCACCGCCGCTGCCGCTAATGCATTGGGGCCACCATTCCTGTCCTATCATCGATGCTAAAATCCAGTATCCAGCAGCTTGTTAGTCTCAGCAAACACACCTTCCACTGGCATGGCATCTCCTTCCACCAAAAAACCAAACTGATGAATTTCATGTTAACTTTGTCCTACATGACAGAAGCTGTAAAGCTAAAAGAATAGAGCCAAGGAATTAACAATGGTTAGTTTTACTCCACCTAAGTAGCACAACTGTTCAAAGAACCAAGGTACAGTTTGTCTCAGGGGGGGATCAATTGTCCTACTCGTGTACTGCAACAGTCTCCAATCAAGTTAAACCTCCCAGGTCATCATTTGGGCATATATAGTATCCACAGGCTTCGATTCAACATATTCACCATATGGTTTTTCCATACTTGATTCGTATCATATGCTTCCACTGCAAAAATTGAAACACACGTTGGCCTCCTCAATTCCCAGTATCACACGTCCGCACTCAGCTTACCATAATGCATAAATCACTTTGAATTTTCATCGAGCTCTTCTTTCAAATCAATCGCAATCGAATTTTCTTATCCTTGACCAAATAGCATTGTAAAAAATGATTTTTTTTGGCATCCTGCAATCAGAATTAAG